ATAGCACACCCATGTTTCTGCCTATAATATTGCTCCCCATATGTGAAGTAGGTTGACTGCAGGCACAGTTTCAAGAGTTGACACAGTTGTTCTGTGGAAAGTGTGGTCCTGCTGCTCAGAGTGGTGTCTGATTTTAATCTTAAACTGACCACCTCTACTGCATCATCAACAAGAATGCACGTAAAGAGTGATGTGACGTCAAAAGAGACCATTGTTTCATCAGTCTCCATGATGACATCCCTCACCTTATCCACAAAGTCCAGGTTGTTCTGTATGTGGTGTTCTGAGCTGCCAACTAAAGGGATGAGTACAGACGCCAGATATTTGGAAACATTGTAAGTGACAGAGTTAATCATGCTAACAATTGGTCTTAAAGGTACACCTTGTTTGTGGATTTTAGGTAAACCATACAGACTAGGTGTGGCCTCCCCTGGGTACAGTCTGTGGTACAGAAAACGGTCAATAGCCTTGTCCTGCTCCAAATTTTTCAGGCAATCTATTAACTTCTTCTTGTAACCACTTCCTGGATCTATTTTCAGAGGTTCATAAGTGGTTAAGTCACTAAGGAGTGTCATAACTTTCTCATGATAGTCTTTCTGGTTCAAAATCACTGTGCACCTTCCTTTGTCTGCTGGGAGAATGATGATGTTTTTGTCCTTGCTAAGAGTGGTGAGTGCATCCCTCTCCTCTCTACTGATGTTGGAAGGTGGTGGTTTGGCATTGCTGAGGCAGGATGAAACTTTGATTCTGAGCTGTTCTGCTTCACCCTCTTTCATTTTGTTGTTGCGGATGGCTGATTCTGTGGCTGTGATCATCTCCACCAGAGGAATTCTACTTGGTGCAACCGCAAAGGTGCTATTTAAGAGACTGAGCTGAAAACAGCACCTCAGACTGAGGAAGTCTCTTGGATGAGAGACGAAACGTTTCTATATTTTTTTGCTTTGTGTTGTTTTTTTTGGGGGTTTTTTTAATGTCCAGAGGACCAGATTGAACTTTTTTGGAATACCCCTGTGGTTTTATCAGCACTTAGCACCAGTTTGATATGGAGCAAGTCTGACTGAATGATGTCGAATGCAGACTGTAGAAGCTGGAAAACCTTGGCAACTGTGTTAGCACAACAATAAACAACTGTATCATTGACATAGAAATGTAAGGGTGCGTCAGGAATGTTCTGACCTACTTTACTTATATAGATTGTAAAGAGAGTGGGTCCTAAGACTGAGCCTTGTGGTACACCATTATTAAATAAATACCAGCAGCCAGTATTAATTAAATGTAAGTTTGGATGGCATTATTTAGACCTTTTTTCATATATAAAAAACCACAAGCTTGTTTGTGGGGTAGCTGTGGTTGAGTGGTTACATCAGTTGTCCTCCAGTGGGAGTTGGGGGTTTGATTCCACCAATATGCAGTCGCATGTTGAAGTGACCCTGGGCAAGACACTGAACCCCTCATTGCCTCTGATGTGTGTCTGAATGAGATTAATGGGGCCGAGATGAGGTAGAGCAGCCGACTTGGGACCCGAAAGTCCCAGGTTTGATCCCCATCCTACATGTCGTGGTGTCTCTGAGCAAGACACTCAATCCATAATTGCTCCCGGGGCACTTACATAGCTGCCCACTGCTCCACCTGGGTGTATCTCAGATGCGATGGGTTAAATGCAGTGAACTCATTTCGCCATTGTATGGGAACACACAATGATGACAACACACAGCACTTATTTAAAGCAATGATTAGTCTCTATAGGATTTGTTCAGTTAGAGTTCTAGAGATGTAGCAGAGTGTTGTATGAATGTGTGTGTGGAGGTAAATGAGGGCACATTGTGTTGTAAAGTGTTTTGAGTATCTAGATTAGATAGAAAGGTGTAAGTACAGTCCATTATTTTTTGTGTTTTCTGTCTGAACTCAAAGAATATTTCTGCTTGGCAGAAATGTCTGTGCATGGTTTCAGGACAGAAATGTTTCTACCAAGGCCCTGTTCAGAACTGGCATTTTATATAGTTTATTTAAAAGATACAATTTAATCTACTGGAGTACACTTTTGAAATTTAGACTGATATGGACCAGTTCTTTAATAATTATTATTTATCATCAGCATGTTTGTTTTTAGATCTAGACATTTGTCTCGGATGTTCTCTGTCAAAGGAGAGTGCCCATGCAGGAGTAAAAATACAGCTCTAGTGCTCTTGAGACCAGTTGGAGATGCCTGCAATGACCAACTATTCTGAGAGGATTTTTTTAACATGCTCAATACGCAAGCGACAAGGCTACGTGCCTCTGTGACTCATGCAGAAAGCTAGAAAACATTTAAAAAATTGCAAAATATTTAGTCACAGTTTTATTTTACAATAGAAAACTACTCTTTCCCTGGTATGAATGTGTAAAGCACAGAGGCGGAGCTAAAAAGTGAGGGAAAGGAGTGAATTAGATTCAACCTTTTTCAGGCCATGATGTAAATATGCAGCTCAAAATCAAAACATGTAAAATTATTCTAATTCACCTATGAGCCTGGAGAGCTCACACAGACCCCAGGGGACGTAGACGGGTAACACGGAGCCGTGGCTCTCCTGCAGAGCCAGATTAGAAATGTGGTCAGAAAAGTGGCAGAGCTTCTGGGTGATGGTGGCGTTGCAGAGGTTCAGCATGATGTTGAGGCCCAGAGGCTTCAGGGAGGGCAGATGGCCCTGCCAGGAAAGGTCATCAAACTGGATGCTGACGGGGTTCTGCTGGTCCTGAGACAGACTCAGCATTTCCAGGTGGTAGTCACACACAAAGTCTTCAGCCTCTGTTTCTGGACAACCCAAAGCAAAATCCTGGAGATAAAAACAAACACAAAATCAACTTCTGATACACTTTCACTTGAAGAGTGTTTCTTCAGAGTCAGACTGGCCTTATGTCCTAATTTATGTCAAATAGTGCTGTCTGTGATGAATACTGGTGAATCATAGCCTTATTAAAGGAAACAGCTTACATTAATAAAGTCATTGGTTGAGCTCATGCATATAAGTTGTTGCAGCTCTTACTCATCATGATCCAATATTTATTGTCTTTCTGTTTTTACTTTGGAGATTGCTGAATGACTGTGTGTGCTTCATTGTCTATCTATAATCACATTTCACTGGCTATTCTTTATTTTATGTCATTTTTTGATATACAGTAGTCCCTTGTTTATCGCGGGGGATCCGTACCCTGAAGCCCCACGATAAGTGAAAAACCGCCATGTAGGAATAGTAGTACAAGTAGTAAGTAGCTGTTTATTTTAGTATTTATATATATATATATATATATATATATATATATATATATATATATATCAAGGCGTTTTAAACCCTTCCGACACTCTTGCAATATTCTAAACAATGTTTCTAAGCTCTAAAGATCTAAAAGAGCACAAAATGTCATGATTTCTGCTCTTTGCCTCCTGCAAGTGCTCTTGGCCACGCCCACTTCTCCGCTCTGCATAGAGAACTGATCAGCTGCAGCAGGAAGTTTATCCTGCAGTATGGGTTGCACAAGAGTGCAGGTATTAAATCATTTAAAATAATTTATTTTAAATAAAAATTCCATGTCGATCGTGCGGCTCATCCATCAATCAGCCGATTGATGGATGTACAATGATTGTGTGATGATGATTATTGATGATGATTGTGTGTCATGTACAATCTTATTTTGAAAAACCACAAAGTAGAGAGGGACTACTGTATTCTGAAGTTGCAGAGAACTGTGAGCGCAGAGGTTATTCAGTCTGGTGAATACATTTAATCTGAAGGACACATTCAACCAGTCAGCTGACATCTGAAAAATGGAAATACCATCCATTCTTTTTCTGAGTTTCAGTCCAACTACCTGACCAGTGTCCTACAGCACTCCGTTCCATCAAGATGAATTGTTTTGAGAGCTTCATTATATTTCAGTTTTCATGCTGTATCCACTCTGCTGGTGACATGGAGCAGATGGAACATTAATGTTTAAATAATATAATAATATAATACTATCACTTCTGAGAGAACTATTTTAAATTCAGGGTTGTGCTTTGAGCTGTCTTGCCATTACACTGATGTGTCATACCTGCTATGTGAGGTTATAGTATAATTACAGTCACAGTACATTCAAAGTATGATCATAGGTTACGTTTGCCACTACAGCACAGCACAAAAATATATGCATCTTAGCACACTGTTGTCTGAAAATGGCTAAGTAATTTTAAAATGGTTTAAAAATCTGACAAAGAAATATTATAGGCCTTGTTTTTTTTTTTTTTTGTCCTGATAAAAATAACTTCAATACTGTGAGTAAAAGTTCTCTTGGCTTCAAACATATACCTCAGTTGCTACTGGAATTCTGTCAGAGAATTTTTGGTCAAAGGTTATGAATGTTTTTGTGTGTTTTATTATTGTGGCTGAGAACATTTTTCCTCATTGCCCTTAAAAACCTGCATTCTACCAAAACATTCTCATCTCCACCTGGAGGCTGAATCACCGATTGCCATGGATCATGTGAGGCAGACTGTGGCTGTCAACAGGATGAGACAGCTGCTGTATAAAAATCTGCAGATGAGTCTATTTGAGGCTGATTCTGTGACACTGTTCTCATGCATATGGACTTATGTATCAATGTATGTGACCTGCTGGATGCAGTCTTTGCAAGTAAAATGCCAGTTAAAAATCTTCACTGGCCGTTGAGTGTGGTTCGAGTAAACAACGTTAGTGAACGAGAGAATATCTCCAACAAATTTCGTGAAATATTTTCAGTACATAATATGTCCGTCTGTCCATCCATCCATCCATGATCTTTACCCACATCTTTCTTTTCAGGTCACGGGAGTCACTGGTGCCCATATCCAGCAGTCACTGTGTGAGAGGTGAGGACACCTTGGACATGTCTTCAGTCCATCACAGGGACACAGAGACAAACAAGACAAACAACCATTCACTCTCACTCACACCTAGGGCCAATTTAGAGTTACCAATCAGCCTAACATACATGTTTTTGTTCTGTGGGAGAAAACCAGAGTACCTGGAAAAAAAGCACACACGCGCAGAGAGAGCATGCAAAGTCCACCCCAAAAGGCCTCCGACCGGGATTCGATCCAGTGACCTTCTTGCTCAAGTGGCAGCTCTACCAACTGAGCCACCGTACTGTGTGTACATAATACAATGAAGAAAATTCCACATTGGGATTTTCACATTTTTGACCACCTTAAATGGCAATGATTACGGTAATAATGTTTTTGTGTGTGGGCACCTGATTATGCAATACAAATGGCTATAAGTCAGTTCATTTTAGAGATACTGATATAAAATTTAATATAGTAGCTTGAGACTGATTCCCAAAACATACTATGAGCACTAACAAATTGTATGACATGTTTGTTTAAAAATTAAGGCAAAGCAGTGGAAAATAAGAGTTTCTTAAGGAATGCTACTTTTTAAGTTTAGTTGTTTGGTCTTTACTCAAGCATGTTTGTTGTTACTGTACATTAGGATAGGAGAAAAAAAATTGGAAAAACTGGCATCGACTTTAACTCACTTGAGCCTGGTTGTCTTCTCCCCCCTCAGTGTCGTGGCTGAAGCTGACGTTTGATCCAGAGTGGTGCTTGGTACGAGAATGTGCGGGTTGCCGAAATTTGAGGGTTTCACATGAGCGAGCCGTGTCATGTGACGTCTCGCTGGGCTCGGGGGCCTCTACCAACTGAATGGAAGCCTCTTCTGAAAGACAGAGCAGGGCCTCTGCCTCCTGGGCCTGAGCAGCAATCACAATTTTTAATATTTACCAGAGTATATTAAACTGAAGTGGTAAAAGATTACCAGTATTTGGATTTAGTTGGACAACAGAAAGACACACACCTTGTCTCTTTCATTCTCTGCCTCCATCCGGCAGTAGGAGTTGACAGACAGGTCATCTCTGAGATCGTCCTGACTACTGTGAGGTGGTTCCACTCGTCCACTGAAGAATAGGACCGTCTCAGGACTGGGATTCGGCCATGACAGGATACCCTGTTTGTCTACACAGCACAGCACCTAGATTCAACAAGAGCACCACATACAGCCCATTATATGCCCATAAACAAACTATTATATAGCAATTCAGCAATCTATAGCATTGCCCGAACAAGCAAAGACCTTATGTTTAATTTGTCCTTGATTGGTGAGCTTGACCTTCGAGCTGGGGTGATGAAACTTGTATGTGACATTTCATCTAGTGTTGATGCATAGGTACAGGAAGTTTTATTAAATGACCTTGAGCAAATCAGAAGTTAAAGCCGGAACAACAGAAAGTTTCCATAAATACGGAAGAATAGAGAATATACCATTATACGTTTCACCTTCGATCGGCATGTACAAAAATATACTTAACATGACCAAACAAAAAAAGGCCCCCCCCCCCCCCCCCCGCTACTCTGGTTATCAATTGTGCAAGAATATATTATGGAGAGCTCTTTGTTAGGGCTGCTTGTATCAAGATCGGTTTAACGTTGACCCCCAATTGGCAGACCAAGAGAAGTAAGGACACTGAAACAAGTCAAAAGGTACGTGATAATTTATTTACAGGTGTAGAATAAAAACTCGAGCAGCTGAAAGGGAAGATGGAGAGATGGTGAGTATAATCATCCTCGTGGCAGGTTTGTTGATTTGATTTTGTAGGATTAGGTTGATCTTACTT